ATCTCTTTATTGTCTGTGCCCACTGAGGACCCAGCAGGTCCCCCAAGCCTGGGGCCCTCTCCCTCCCTGCCCTCTAGTCTCTTTGGGCCCAGAGTAGGCAGTGGCCTCTCCTCTGGTTTCTGGGCTTGCTGGCAGGGCTGGCTCTGCCCCCTGGCCTGGAGGCATGGAAGGGTCTAGGCCACAACGGGGCCTGGCAGCTGGCACGAAGCCATGGTTCCTAATGGTTTTATTACCAGCAACAATGTAGAGCTTGTTGCCATCCTCTCGCAGGCCGTGGTTCCCAGCCCAACTGGTGGTGGCCTGAGGGCCTGCCTGGTACTGGAAGCTCAGCTGGGAAGCCCAGTGGGGCCGGGCAGTTGCCCCTGCGTTTTCTTCTGTCAACACCCTCCGCACAGCCTGGACTCCGAGAGCGGGGGTTCAGCATGATGAGGTGCCTGGGCCCCAAGTTGGCAGGCCTGGCAGCTCTCGAGTTTTCTCCCTGGAGGTCCCTTGCTTCAGATCCACAAATAATGTTCATCCATTCATTTATTAAAGACCTACCATGTGCCAGACACTCACTGGCTGCAAAGATGGAGGAGATTGTGCTGGTCCACAGGGAGCCCTCAGCAGAGGTGGAGTCTGGTGAGGGTGACCATTACAGCATAGACGGGTGGAGAGAGCTCTAGCAGCATGTGCCTAGGGCATTTCAGGGGCTCAGAGAAGGGATGTCTCATTCAGGAGGGAGAGAAGATCTGGAATGGCTTTCTAAAGCTTGAGCTGAGTCTCGAAGGGCGGGGAGGAGTTAGCGAGGGAGTCACGGGCATCTTCTGATCTGATGTCGCTGGAATGATGAGGAATGATGGGGTGCGAGGCTGGAGGGCTGGACCATGGAAGGCTGGGATGTTGTCCATTCATAGGTGTTGGACTTGGAGTGACATGCCAGTATTTGTACCTGAGAATGATCATCCTGGGGCATCACGGAGGAGAAATTGGACAGGTGAGGATGGGTGCAGGGAGCCCAGGCAGAAGGCTGGCACCGAAGTCCAGGGGAGCAGCAGTGTGGGCCTGGAGGAGGGGTGCTTTGTGAGGCATTTAGGGAGCAGAGCTGCTAGGGACGGCTGAGCGACGGAGGGGGTGAGGGGAGCCAGGGGTGACCCTTTGGTTTCTGGCTCAGCCAGCTGCATGGATGGGGATGCCAACCACTGAGAGGGCACAGGTTCGGGGAGTCTGGGAGAGACCTGGGAGTGCTTCACATGGGAGGCAGGACTGGAGCTGGGACTCAAGGGGGATTGGGACTGGCCCAGGTGGAGCCTGGGCTGGGCCAGGCTTGCAGAAGGGGAAAGATCCTGTGGCACAAGGCCTGGAGGTGGGGGCCCAGGGAGGGCCAGGGTCCAGCGTGATGGTTGAGAAAGGCAGGGGCACTTTGTTCCATAACTGGTAGCGGGCTCCGGAGACTTCTGAGGAGGTGACTTAACCAGGCGTTCGTACCACATGCGTTGGGGATGCTGCTCTCTGGGGCCTCAGTGGGGACTTCTGCTTCTCGGGAGCTCCCCCAGAAGGTGTGCTGTAAGGCCTAGACCTTGTTCTTTGACTCCCTGGTCTCACAACCTGGCGTAAGTCCTGTCGCCCTCTGTGAATGGAATGTGAATTGCAAAGTTGACATCCACCCTCTATTCAGGGGCAGGTCTGCGAGGTAGGTGGGGGTAAGCTGGGGACGGCAGTTTTGGTAAGCAAGCAAAAAAAAAAAAAAACGGACAATAGCTGTTTCTCTAAAACAGAAATGAGTCTGTCACGTGTCACAGGAAGGGCAACGTCAAAGAATTTCTAGAAAAATGACGTGAGCCAGGTCAGCATCAGTGAAGCAAGAGGCAGCATGGCATTGTGCCCAGGCCACCAGACCCGGCACTGCCAGTGGTGTCACCACAGCCCTGCCACGTCCTTGGGCAGACCAGTTAACCTCTCTTAGCCTCAGTTTTGCCATCTGCAAAGTGGAGATGACCTTACAGACTTGTGTTTTTGTTTGTTTGTTTCAAACGCTACTCCTTGTGTTAAACCTGGATATTTTATGTCACTCATCTTCTAAAAGAATCCTTATGCAGTTGGCCTCCCAGGTGTTTGAGGATTAAAATTCAGCCATGCGTGTTCCCTGTCTGGCGCTGAGCAGGCACATGCACACGTGCACGCCCCCTCTCCCCCTCCCTCACTTGCTGGCTGCTTCTTGCCTCCTGGGAGGCGTGTCCCGCCTGTCTCCTCAGTCCCCCCAACCTTGTTCCTGGGAAGGTCCGTTTATCTTGTTCCGTTGACTCTCTCTCGTTTCCCAAACCTGGGTCCCCCAGTGTATTTGAAGAGCCTCTGCTGAGCAAAGTGGGAGTTGGGGGCAGGGGCGGTGTCCATTCCTTTTCTCTTTTTACTAAAGGGGAGGGGATCTGTGCAGAGCTGCCATGGCTGTGTGGAGAGCAGAGGGCACGGGAGGGAGGGCTCAACCCTCCAGGGCCTGGGCCGCTCTGTGTGCTGGGGAAGGGGGTGGAGGGCCCTAGTGGGGTGTGGGAGATGGCTTGGGGTGACCTTCGTCTGGACAGTGAGGCCAGCTTCCTCTGTGAGCGGGCACATGTGGTAGCCATTGGGCTGTACCATGGCCCCCATGACACTCGGCCACACCCATGGGGAGACCTTTGAAGCATCTCTGCCTTCTGGAGGAGGCTCAGGTGGGAAGATGGCTTCTCAGCAGGGGCTCCAGTGGTGGCGATGTTGGCCATGTTGGCAAGAAGGCCTGGGCCAGAGTCAGGCTGTCTCTGCCCGGATCAGGGGGTGGGGGACCACTCTTGATTTGAGTGTGGAAGCCACCATTTCTCTGGTTTGTACCAACCTGCACATGTGCCGCCGTCACAGGGTGCCCTGTGGAAGCTGGGCATCCGTGGACTGAAGGTGTGGTGACGAGATCAGATGAAACATACAGCATCATTAATCTGGCATGCCCTTAATGGTATGCGTAATTGTGCTGCATGGTAATTAGGTGTAAATGGTAAGCAGTTCACATAAATGTTTTTGTAATTGGTATTAATTTTGCAGAGGCAAACTAAGTTTATGTGGTTTTTCTCTTCTTGCTCTGTTAGTTTTCTAGCACAGGCAGTTCCTAGCTCTTGGAGGAATTCTACTGCAAATGTTTGTTTTTAGGGCAATGTTTTGTATTTTCTCTCAGAACAATGTTGTGAATGGTTGTGTGGTTCCCAAGCTGGTTTCCAAATGCCTCTTTGGCCCACGCTGTAGGTGAAATGTGTGGCACATGTGCGGGGGTGGCCTCGCCCTGAACCCTCCTGTTCCAGGTTCTTGGAGCGTGGAGGGTGAGAGGACTGTGTGTGTGTGTCTGTGTCTATGAGTGTATGTATTTCTGTGTGAGTGCATCTGTCTGTGTGTCTGTGTCCGTGTGTGTCTGTCTATGTGAGTGCATCTGTGTGTGTGTGTCTTTGTGTGTGTGTACATGCATCTGTCTATGTGACTGTGTGTGTGTCTGTGTGCACATGTATCTGTGTGATTGTATGTGTATCTGTGTGTGTGCACACAGGCCTGTCTGTGTGTGTCTGTGTGTGTGTGCACATGCATCTGTCTCTGTGACTGTGTCTGTGTGTACACACATGCCTGTCTGTGGGTGTCTGTGTGTGTGTGCACATGCATCTGTCTCTGTGGGTCTGTGTGCATGTCTGTGTCTGTGTGTGCATGTCTGTGTGAGTGTGGCTGGGACAGACTCCTGAGGCTCTGGTAAAGAGGTTACCCATTCTGGCGGCGAGGGGCCTTGGGCTGGGGGTTAGGGGAAGACTTGGGTGTTAGCTGGGAGAGAGAACTCTGGGTCAGGCTGCAGCCACTGAGCAAGGGCTGCTCCAGGATATGGTCTTAAGCTGGAGTCTAGGTTTCCTAAGGACACTTTACTGGCCTTTCGCCCTGATTAAACACATAATACTTTTAAAAAAATTAATATTTACTGAGTGCCTACCATGTGCCAGATACTGTGCTCAACACTCGACTCACTCTCTCGTGTCTTAAAGATTTTATTTTTTTTCCTTTTTCTCCCCAAAGCCCCCCAGCACATAGTTGTATATTCTTCGTTGTGGGTCCTTCTAGTTGTGGCCTGTGGGACGCTGCCTCAGTGGGGTTTGATGAGCAGTGCCATGTCCGTGCGCAGGATTCGAACCAACAAAACACTGGGCCGCCTGCAGCGGAGCTTGCGAACTTAACCACTCGGCCACGGGGCCAGCCCCTCTCTCGTGTCTTAAAGTAGACTGTGAGGCACGGACTCTTGCTGCCCTCATTGGGAAGTGAGGCCCGGGTCTCTGAGTGGCAGAGGCAGGGTCTGAGGTGGGGTCCGGCTGAGCCTCCTTTGGGCTGAAGGGCTGGGTGCACTGCAGCAGGGCTGCTGGGCTAGGGGCTAGTGGTTCCAGGATGTGCTGCCCAGACTCCAGGGGCTCTTCTTCCGCCCCTGGCCCCCTCCACAAATGGTTTGGGTTTGGTTTTGGTTTGGGCAGAGGGTGAGGATAAGGCAAACCTGGGACCAGGGGCTCTTTCCTGCTTTAGTGGGTGGTGAGGGGCTGTGCTCCCAACGTAGCTCCCAGGCCCTGAAGACCCTTCGGAGGACCTCCTAGTGTGGGCCTGGGAGGCGGTCAGCTGGGTGGTCAGTTGGTGTCGCTTGGTGTGGGAAGAGGGTGAAGAAGTGCAGGTGGAGGAAGTGCGCGCATGGATGGTGTGGGGAGAGAGTGGCCACAGGCAAGCCGGGGACTCAGTCTGCAAGGGTGTGGAGACGCGGGAGGCCAGCCCCCCTTGCTTCCTGTGCTTCACTGGCCCCCTGACCTGGGCCCTCACCACCCACTTTACCGTGGGCATCTAGGGGCTGGTGGGGCCTGCACACCCCACAGCAGGTGTATGTTCTGGCCTGGGAAAGGTGGAGCAGGGACCTAGGAGGCCCCGCAGAGGGCCTTTCCCTTGGCACAGTGCCTCGTGGAACTCTGCCAAGTGACCCCTAGAATGGGGGCTGTGGGGGGTCACTCTAGGCACCGCAGCACTGTGCTGGGGATGTTGCAGCTGCCTGGGAGTGATTTCACACAGTCCTCTCTGCCTCAAGGGTCACCCGGAACAGGGAGGGTGGGAGAGGGAGAGGCACTGAGCTGTGGGCTGATTTGGGGGGCAGCAAGGTGCAAGACATGAACTCTGACCTCGTCTGTTTGGGAAAACATACATGTCCATGTGCATGTGCAATGCTGTTTGACCACAAAGCAGAAACTGATGAAGGACCCCTGGGTGGGTGGTTAGGGAGAAGCAGTGGGGGTTCACGGGTGCTGAGGGAGGGGAAGAGGGGGACTGGGTGAGCCCTCTGGCAGGGTCCCTCTCTTAGAGGGGAGAATGTGTGAGTAGACACAAGTGTGGGGACAGGGGATGTAAGCTGGGGGTCAGTGACTGGCCAGCTGGGAGAGGCGAGGGCGAGGTTGGAGCAATAGGCTGAGGCCGTGCTGTAGCGAGCCATCAGTGTTGGACCAGACCAGAGTTTAGAGTTTACCCTGTGTAAAAATCATTGGCATCATAGGGGTTTTTAAATAACACCTTTATTGAGATATAATTCACATGCCATACAATTCATCCATTTAAAGTGTGCAATTCGATGGTTTTTAATACATTCACAGAGTTGTGCAACCATCACCACAGTTGATCATAGAACATTTTCATCAGGCATCGTAGGTTTTGGCTGAGGGAGGCATGTGTGGAGAATCTTTGCTGAGAGGCTGGAGTGGGAGGTGGGACACCAGAGGCAGGGAGACCCGTTACGGAATAGCCGCCAAGGTCTAGACCTGTGGTACAAAGGGTCTGGGGGGAGGGGTGGAGAATGGAGGCCCGAGGATCAGGTGCCTGGTGGAGTGTGGGGACTGAAGGGGAAGGGGAGACCTCAGTTCTCTCCGGGGTTTTGTGCCTTGGCAGCTGAGGGGACGGTGGTGCCACTTCCACAGAGAGAGAGAAGGCAGAGGAAGCATGAAGCATCTGGTTCTAGAAGAGTAGGATTTTAGGTGGGGATGTCCAGGAGATAAAGATGGAGGCCTTGCAGTAGGAAGTGTGCGTTAATTTAAGCCCAGGTATCTCAGTGGAGGAGAATTTAGAATACTGCTTGAGGCAGAGTGTGACCAACCCGTAAGGGGTCCCCAGCGTGCAGTAGTGGGAGCGGGACCCCAGCCAGCCCAGGAGACAGAACAGAGGAGCCAAGGGGTGGGAGAGAACCAAGAGTGTGGAGCCAAGCAGAGTCACGGATGGGAGAGAGAGCCAGAGAACCCACTTGCTGTGAACTTCCAGGATCAGGGGTCTCTGTTCACCCCAGTGCCTGGCTCAGCAGCGGCACTCAATAAATGATTGCTGAGTGAGGGCTTGAAGCAGGGAATGATCAGCTGGCAAGGATGCTGAACTGAGCTCAAGGACCATGAGGATGGAAAAAGGCCCTTTGAGGCCATGGGTTACTGAGTCAGTCAGGCTCCATTCAGGAGACAGAAACCGCATAGTGACTTGGACAGGAAAAGTTTAATATAAAGACTTATTAACTATAACAGGAGATTGGAGTAATGAGAGATTGGCTAGTAAGAAGTGAAAAGAAATGCAAAGGATACAGAAATAGCATAGATGAGAGCAGCCACTACCTCTGGGGTTGCCATGGAGTGCCGAAGGAAGAGGCCCTCCAGGGCTGAGATCCTGACCTTGACAGAGAGGGCATGACCATGGCTCCCTGGATGACAGAGAAGTTACTGTGGTGGCTTGTTGCAGAACGTGCTGGAAACCTGCCCTCTGGAACTCACTGGAAACCATCCTTTTGGGCCCCAAAGAAAGTTGTTCCTGAGGAAGTATCTTGCTGGAGGCACACTGCTACTAAACTGCCCGAGGGGGAGTGTTGGGTGAAGCTGCTAGCTGCTGCTGACTGTCGTACTGCTAGAGCCAGTGCTGGAGAAGCTGTCTGTGCTCAGGAGCCTGGTGCTGGCGAAGCATCCTCGCTGCCGGAGCTGGGCACTGGGAAGTTGCGTGCTGCAGGAGCATGGTGCTGGAGGGTGCTGGAGAAGCTGCAGCGGGACAGGGCTGGGCACCAGGGAAGCCACAGGGGCAGCAGGATCTGGCTGCTGGAGAAGTTGTATACAACGCGGGAGCCCTGGAGAGGGAGCAAGAGGGAGCGCACTGGATCCAGGAAAGAACATACCTCCTCCTTCAGTGTCTCTCCAGTGCCTACTACTCTACTGACAAGAGTTTAATGTCACGCCAGCTGGCAAAGGAGAAATATTTAAAGGGCCTAGCTCCATTTTCACAGAGCAGGCAATGGAGGGTGAATAAGTTCACTGGCATGGTCTCCTCGTTTGGTTACACAGTTTCCATGTGCACCGTTTTACACACATTCGAGCAACAAAACAGCTATATTTCTACCTATCAAGACACAGCTGTCCTTACTGAATTCTTGGCCTTTTCTGCGAATGAGGAGTTCCAACACTCATTGTGCCAATGACTGTCTACAGGAATAACGTCTCAAATTCAGTCACAGTCCCACTGGATATTCTGTCACCTGAAGACTAAATTACAGAGCCAGCACTGGTGGTCTGGTGGTTAAGATTCTGCGCTCTCACTGCTGTGGCCTGGGTTCCTTTCCTGGTCGTGGAACCGCACCACTCGTCTGTCAGTTGTCATACTGTGGCGGCAGCTCACATAAAGAACTAAAAACTAACAACTAGGATACACAACTATGCACTGAAGCTTTAAAAAAAAGACTAAATTATAAAGTTAACTTTCAACAACTTGTATATAAAACGATGGGAAGAAGGAGGAAAAAGAAGAAAATGGTTACCGTATACAGATAAACACACATATCTAGAAAATATGAAAACTCCTACAGCCCTCATTTCCACATTGGCTCAGAAGGCCGCGTGTGGCCTCCTCCTCCATTGCCCATCCCATATTTCCTCTGCGCTCAGCCACAACCTCAACAGGTCAGGCTTCTTTTACTGGTGGAGTGACCGAAACCTTGATCCTCAAAGGATCGGAATCCTCAGTTGTCCTGCCTTTTTTCTTTCAGTTATGTAGTTTTCCATTAGCCTTTACTTTTGGGCACGGAGTTCTGAGAGAACTTGGGTCCCGAGTTTTCCTTGCTTCTGTTGTGTACCAGCAACCCAATTTCTCCCTGGTAACCGGGATCAATCACTCCAGCCAGTGGGGTAACTCATTTTGTTGTCTGTTGGTTCAGTGGCATCAGGGGTCCTCAAAAGCCAGGCGGATGGCTTACCTTCCACAGGAACCACTGTGGTGTCCCCTTTGGAGATTACAACATTCAGCGCCCCTAGAGGGCTCAGAGATAGGGGGTGGGGTGGGGACCAGCTGCAGGGGTCAAGGGGAGAGTAAGTGAAGAGGCTCTGGAGCTGGCAAGTGTGAGTATTCTCTACAGAAGGCCAGAAAGGCAAAGAAACACCTGGGGGTGGACCTTGGGCCACCTCCAGGGGAGGACAGAATCAGACCCATGCTCATGGCTGCCTCATGCAGCAGGCCCCACCGGAGGCCACATGTCCGATTCTCACGTGGACTTTCAGCTTGGAACCCTGTGTCCCTGACTCCCAGGGCGTGGGAAGCCCATCTAACTGCCACAGCACACCAGGCCCCGACGGGGCTCTCGCTCACCACACTCGGAAACGCGTGCTCCTCAGTGGAAGCCTGTATTGGCTCGTTCGACTCCTGAGAACAGCTTCAGCTCCTCACCAGCGTCTATTTTGGGTATAACCCGTTTTTTCTCCCTGCTTTTGGGGCTGTGTCATGGTAACCATTAGTATGAGCAGAGGAGTCTGATTCGACTCATCTCTGTCAATGTGGCCAGCATGGTGGCAGCAGGCTTCATGTAACCGTAAATGCTCACACTCGTGGTGCCCTGGCCTCGAGGGTGGTGTGAGAGCCACCAGTCATCTTGTTGTGACTCCAGAGCCAGACAGATGGGCTTTGAAGTGGGGACAGGATGGCGGGACTGTTGGCCTGGCGCCAGTGGCTTTTGGTGTTCTATGGGCAGCTGGTGGTTTGGGTGGGAGGGATGTTTTGGAAGTCAGGGTAATGGTATGCTGGTGTGCATCTCACTCGTGTTGAGAAAGAACGAGCAGCCAGCAAGCCTGGGACCTCCCCCTCCTCCGTGTGCAGCCCCAGACTTGTGACCGAGAGAGGCTGTGGCAGGTGAGGGAAGACTTGGCAGATAGACATCCCCGTCTCGGCGGCCCTGTTGTCTCGCCTCAGCCGTCTGCTGCCCCAACTTTTCAGGCCCAGAGCTTGTCGCAACCCTGGCAGATGATTGGGTGCGTGGGGCACAAGATGCTCCTCTGCCTTCTCTCACTCACAGGCTCCATTTGCTCCTCCTCCCAAGCTCAAATAGGAAATTCAGCCATGAGGCTGTTATGTGTGGGCTGGTGTCACACCAGGGGCACAGATAGCTGGTCCGGGGTCCCTGCTCATCCATGACTGAGTGCAGCCATGTTTGTAAGGACCCGGGAGTTAGATGGACATGGATTTAGTATCCTGCCCTGGGATTTTCTACCTCTCCTACTTCAGAGAGGTAATAAACCTCTCTAAGCCTCAGTTTTTCCTCCTATAAAATGGGAATAACACTAGAACCTACTTTGTAGACCTTATAGGATTGTTATGAAGATGAAATGAGACAACGCATGTCCCTTAGCACAGTGCCCAGCACATGGCAGGTGCTTACTAAATAGTTGCATGAATAAATGAGTGACTGACTCCCGCATGGGGCAGCGCACTGAATACTATGATTGAAAGGTTGCATTTTCTACCCCCATCCCTTCCCCTGCCACCACGGCAGACAGGCCTAACCAGGAAAGGGAGACTAACTGGAAACTTTGTTTTCTTTCTTTTTCTTTTAAATACGCCGTTTGTTTATTTGTTTGTTTGCAGGGAAAGATTCACCCTAAGCTGACATCTGTGCCAATCTTCCTCCTTTATCTTCCTTCCTGCCCCAAAGCCCCGGTACATCATTTTGTATAGTTGTAAGTTCTTCTGGTTCTCCTATGTGGGCCACCACCACAGCACAGCTGCTGACAGACAAGTG